GAGTAAAAAAGGGGGGGGGGGGAATGAATAAATAAGGGAATGATTTGTAAAAGATTTTTATATTTGTGACGCCATAAGTGGCAACATGTGATATGAAATGTTAACAGGGCAATGAACCACTTTTGTAGATGGCCAATAAAGAGTCCTGAACGGAACCTGCCCAGTTGGACACAAAATACTTTACACAGTATATTCTACACAAAGTTGATTACTCAGAATAGAACTAAATACGAATTATTTATTACTATTGTTTATAATTTTTCATTAGCTTATGTAAGGTTAGCTTAGTTTAAGTTCGAAAACATTGTAATGCTCTCATATTCGGATATTGTTAAATCAATGTATAAACTTCTCATCGACACACTGAAAACTTCTATAGGTTCTATCAAATAAAGATAGCTTCGAATAGTTTTTATTGACCAATTAGTCAGCATTCGCATTTGTGTCCAATTGGGTCTGCGCGCGATTAAGCACGCCGCGACCTGAATTGCTGTTTTCGAATCCCCTTAATTATGACTCCTAAATAGTCTTCATGACTTAACTAATAATGACACTTATAGAAAAACTTCAACATTTCATAACAGTTGATGTTCGCTATGCTTGTAATATGTTTATAATGCAAAGAAGGGAGCATTTTTTAATTAATGGTTTGATTCCTTTATATATAGACGCCGCCACGAGTCTTGACATTAGCGGATCACTATTTTCCAGCAGTTGACGAAGACGATGTTAATACTTTCACAAATGAACTTAGAGAAGCTGAATCTAATATTAGTCATCCACGCAATCGATATAATCCTGAAACTCACATCACTCGACATGCAAGGTATATTCCTCATACTTGAATATTTTTTATAAGTTATATAAACCACTTAGGGAATCAGTCAATTATTAGTTGTCAACAGTCATGTCATACAAGGCTACTCAGCCGGAACGTATCAGTTGAAATTTTTTCCCCATAGATGGGGATCTTCAAATGGACAGGTTAACTTCAGTTGGTATGATTAAGTTGACCCGTATACGATACGTGTCAATTAATTACACAACTTTTAGGAGTGTTTAATAATAAGAAGGTGGCCTTGTTTATTTACAAGCCAGAAATCAATATTGTTGCATTGAAAATATGACTAATTTTACTTAAAACCAATTAAATAGTAAATTTCTGGAGCAAGAAAAGTAATTGTTCAACTTTTGAATCAAATATAAGCCGACTTGCAAAAGTCTTTGGCCAAACTCAATTATACATTACGTGAAAGGCTCTCGGCCAAAGACTTCTGCACACGATTGTATACGACTAGGTTTCTAAGAACTCCATTAATCTGCGCATGAAGGAAACTTAATTAATCACATTGGGACGTTTATAGAGAGCAGACTCCATCGTATAGCGCCTTGGATGTTTCTCTTCTACCCAGTGAAGAAATCCAACATTTACGACGTCAAGTTGGAAAATTGAATCGTCGGGTGATGGCAGTCGAACTCGAAATGTTACAACGACAACAACGTGATAAAATTTTATACGCAGTAACAATAACATATTTCTTATTGAAGGCTTTCAGTTGGTTTACTAGAAACTAACATCTTTGTAAGCATAACGTTTGTTCGAAGTCTATGAAACGTACGATGATGTTAACGAGTGATCTACCAAAAGTCTCTACGCTCGGTTTCACAAATTAGAAACCCAAATATTTTAGTTTCCGTTCGCGATATGTGTGAATTTTTCATTGTTTAATGCATCTGAGATAGTAATGTTGCCGCAAGAATTCACGAAATAAACAGTAACAAAAAAAAACGATACAAAATAGAGTTCGATAAAATCTGTAAAAATCACGTAAGGAATCATCTCAATTTCGAGATGCCGTTAACATCGATAATGCTGTAATATTATTATTTCATATTCAAATAATGTGTGTAAATTAACATTATGCGTACATACATCGCGTGGCATTTTTTTCGGACATTTACTATTAGTCACAAGGCATATGTTGACAGTTGCATGTATACATATATGTAGGATTGTTCAGATATCACCTGAAGATAAGGTTGTTAATTCTAAATAACTTTGTACTTTCTATCCGGTATATTAATCCAAAAATCAAAGTTAAGAACAGATTGATTCAAGCATGCATGATTATTGCTGCTTCATTTTTTTGGGCCCTTCGGTTTTCTGTATCAAAAAAACTTTCTTTTTTGGTTCTATTGTACAAAGAACTTAGTTTATTTTTTTCATATTTAATTTCACTTTCCCTCGATACTGGTTGCAGACTGTGTGTAATATAAATTATGTATTGATATTTTGACTGTATTTCGTCTATTAGTGCATATAGATATAGTGCATAAATATAGGAAATAATAAGTTCCTTTCTTAATTCTTACTGATCAAAATTATGCCGTGAGATGCAATTGTAATAAAATTATTAGTTAACACGTTCACTTATTAGAAAGTATATCAATTCATTCGACATGTCATCTCATTTATGTTAGAAATGTAAAACTTGTGAATGAAGTTCTAACAAACTGATATTTAACATGGTATAATAAGCAAAAATGATCGAATAAATATTTGATGCAATTCCTTGCTCATGGCCATACTATATAATATATTATGTTTATATAATATAAAAATAAATGTTACAAAAATAATGTCTACGCAAACAGTTATCATTTAACCATTATACTTTGTAAATGCTGTTTATCCATGTGCCAACTCTTGACAAGAGTACATACAGTCAACCGCATTAATGGTGTCAACGGTAGACGCCGTGCGGTGAGGTAAGAGAGGAGATTGGGCGGCGCCTGCTCACGTATCTTGGCCTGTGTGTGCAACGCAGAAAGCTTCTTTCTTTCTTTCTTTCTTCGGCACTTTCTTTGGTCGGCACTAGTTAGGACCCTGGTCCGTTACAAGCGGCCACAAGATTAATACAAAATGGAGCGTTTCTATGGGGCATCTAGCGTGAGTATCCCAAGGCGATCTGAAACAGAGAGAGGAGCACCCCGGTGACCAATTACCGAGGCGGTCCAACCAGCTAGAGCCCGAGGGCTCACAAATCTCCCAATCGGGAGGGAATTCATGCAGGGAGCCAATAGGAAGATAGATAGAGGTGCAGGTAGAGGAGTTTTATTGGAATGAACAGTAAAGCCCGTATTCAGAACTCGCTTTTAGTGCTAATTGCGCGCTTTTAAATTAATTGTTAGTGAGTTTAAAGGGGACCGTATTCAGAACCGCTTTTAAACATTTAACAGTGCGCTATTAGACGCCATTGTGAGACTAACTGCGACATGTTCGGAGATGTGGGCAGGGGCATGTTTAAAGTGACAGGTCGCTCAAATATGGCGGACCAGATGGAGGCTATTGCCGAGATAGATGAAGTCCGCGAAATTAATGAAATGAGAGTAAGAAATTTGCAAGTTTTTCGAGAGAGACGTGATCCGTTCCGTACATGACGTCATCCTTAGGCATTTCGGCCGTGTTCAACACTCAGAGGCTATCAGATTTGTGGGGAACTTCATCCTCCACAAAATTTTCAAGGCAAATTTTACTGATTCTGAAATCGCGTTCAGAAGGTTTTGAGAGGACAGAATCCACCTGTACCACTCGCACCGCTGCTATGCATCTCCTATATCTTTCCATTACCTCTTAATTCCAGTCGCTGCCTTTTTCTCTGTTAGTTTCATTCAATTGTCTCTTCTACTCTTTTGCAGTGAAGCATTATTTGCTTTATTCTTTAGTATATCACAATTGTCGCTTACAAATTGTATGACTAATGCTTTTTCTTCGAGGGTGAAATTCTCTTTTTGTTGCATGGTGATGTACAACGATTTATATGTTTGTCATTTTCATGTCATTCCTGTCATATAATAGTTATACATACTTACTACATTTACACGATTTTACCGTATTAATTTAATATTAATAGCTCACCAAATATGAAGCTCGCGCTTTCCGAATGCTACCGAATACTCCCGGACATAATTGAATATGCCCAAGTCTTCTCGAATGATTCCGAACGCGGTTGAAAGTACATGTTACAACACGCTGTTTCCTGTTAGCGTACATTTAGTTAAAAGCGGCTTAAAAGCGAGTGCTGAATACGGTCATTAACAACTCGGCGCAGTCACTTTTAACTAATAGTGACTCTGTTAGTGACCTTACGAGCGAGTTCTGAATACGGGCTATAGAGCCTACGGAGTCTAGAAATCTATATAGATATGTTAGCATTGGTGAAAAAGTTGTGTATTGATTCAAGGCGGGCTCTTAGCCCGTATTTAGAACTCGCTTTTAAGGTCATTAACAGAGTCACTATTAGTTAAAAGTTACTGCGCCGAGTTGTTAGTGACCGTATTCAGAACTCGCTTTTAAGCTGCTTTTAGTTAAAGGTACGCTAACAGGGAGCAGCGTCCTTTAACATGTACTTTCGGAAATCATTCGGGAAGACTCGGGCATATTCAATTATGTCCGGGAGTATTCGGTAGCATTCGGAAAGCGCGAGCTTCATATTTGGTGAGCTATTAATATTAAATTAATACGGTAAAATCGTGTAAATGTAGTAAGTATGTATAACTATTATATGACAGGAATGACATGAAAATGACAAACATATAAATCGTTGTACATCACCATGCAACAAAAAGAGAATTTCACCCTCGAAGAAAAAGCATTAGTCATACAATTTGTAAGCGACAATTGTGATATACTAAAGAATAAAGCAAATAATGCTTCACTGCAAAAGAGTAGAAGAGACAATTGAATGAAACTAACAGAGAAAAAGGCAGCGACTGGAATTAAGAGGTAATGGAAAGATATAGGAGATGCATAGCAGCGGTGCGAGTGGTACAGGTGGATTCTGTCCTCTCAAAACCTTCTGAACGCGATTTCAGAATCAGTAAAATTTGCCTTGAAAATTTTGTGGAGGATGAAGTTCCCCACAAATCTGATAGCCTCTGAGTGTTGAACACGGCCGAAATGCCTAAGGATGACGTCATGTACGGAACGGATCACGTCTCTCTCGAAAAACTTGCAAATTTCTTACTCTCATTTCATTAATTTCGCGGACTTCATCTATCTCGGCAATAGCCTCCATCTGGTACAGGTGGAGGTTCTGCTCTCTCAAAACCTTCTGGGCTCAATTTCAAAATCAATGAAATTTGCCTGGAACATTTTGTGGAGGATGAAGATCCCCACAAATCTGATAGCCTCTGAGCATTCAACATGGCCGAAATGCCTAAGGATGACGTCACGTATAAAACGGATCACATCTCTCTCGAAAAACTTGCGGATTTCTTACTCTCATTTCCTTAACTTCGCGGACTTCATCTATCTCGGCAATAGCCTCCATCTGGTCCGCCATATTTGAGCGACCTGTCACTTTAAACATGCCCCTGCCCACATCTCCGAACATGTCGCAGTTAGTCTCACAATGGCGTCTAATAGCGCACTGTTAAATGTTTAAAAGCGGTTCTGAATACGGTCCCCTTTAAACTCACTAACAATTAATTTAAAAGCGCGCAATTAGCACTAAAAGCGAGTTCTGAATACGGGCTTTACTGTTCATTCCAATAAAACTCCTCTACCTGCACCTCTATCTATCTTCCTATTGGCTCCCTGCATGAATTCCCTCCCGATTGGGAGATTTGTGAGCCCTCGGGCTCTAGCTGGTTGGACCGCCTCGGTAATTGGTCACCGGGGTGCAACAAATAATTTAAAAGCGCGCTTTTAGCACTAAAAGCGAGTTCTAAATACGGGCTTATTTATATAATTTCATCTACTCTAACTCCGCAAGTTGCTACGCTTCCTTCGCCAGTTTTACAGTAATTGAGGATGCATGCAGTTTAGATAAGAAGTGATAGAGTACGTTACAGAGAGCTTAGCTTTAAAGAAAGGAGTAGATTAGTTCTGAGATGGGAAAAACGGCGACAATGGCATAAAAAATGATCGACCGTTTCGGAGCCCCTGCCACATGGACATCGATCGGAGTACACAATGCCTTTACGATGGAGGCTTTCGGCCAAGGAATGGTGATTGACTCTAATTCTGGTGAAAGTAGTTATAACGGAGCGCCTTAAGTTTATGTGTGAAAAGAAAGGCGTTTTGGCTATGAAATAACAGTGGTTGAAGTAGAAAAGACCCTTTAGATCATGATGGTTTGAATAAAATGCTAAACAGGCTTCTGATGCCCAGTTGGATATAGTAGGAAGCAGGTCAGTACATGGAAGACTGTGGTTTAAAAATGTACCGGTTGTCATGGCTTTTTTGGCGAGAAGATCAGCCGTATCATTTCCCCGGAGGTTCGAGTGACCCGGAATCCAAAAAAGACGGATACACTGCCTGTTTAATGAGGCTTGTCTTAGTTTTTGCTTGATCAAATATATGAAGTATGAGTGGGATTCATCTAGATTAAACGACTGCAGGGCTTTAAAAAAACTCTGTGAGTTCGAAAAAACTATTGACGTTGTTAATTTCTTATCTAGGATAAAATTGATCACATGATAGATTGCAAAGGCTTCCGCCGAGAATATTGAGGCTTGACTAGCTATTTTAGCTTGAACACATATGTTAAGAGAAGGGCAGTAGACACTGAAACCTGTAAAAGGGCCATCTGGATTTTTCGAGCCATCAGTATAGAAGCAGTGTGACGAAGAAAGGATTTGACTGAAGCATTTGTCAACTCATTAGTCGGATTCCCTGAGCTTTGGATGGAGAGACCTTCCATCAAACTGATACTTGGAGTAAAGTGCTGAAGTTCATAATCAAAGTGGTAAGGAAGAGGATGAGGGGAGTTATAAATAATTTTACTGTAATTACGAACAGAAACAAAGGGCCTTATAGAGGATGAAATGATGCTTAATCTGATATGTTTTGCCATTATAGGGGAGGCACAATAGGTTCGAGAGAAGACGAATGACAGGATGATCAGAGTGTGAGAACCACTTTAGAACGTATTTCCTTGTTAAGAGGTTGAACCGGATGAGTAGAGGTGATTCTTTTGTTTCAGCGAGAAGCGCCCGGATTGGAGTGGACATTCTAAGCCCCAGGCTAAGACGGAGAGCACTGCATTGAACTCGATTAAGTTTCATGAGTAGATTACGATCAAGAAGTAGAAGGGCTTGACAACAATACTCTAGGACACTTCTGATTAACGATTTGCATAGGAGGAGAAGGGTTGAGGGTGTACACCCCATCATGTGGATCTGAAGGCTTTGAAGATGTTCAGTGCTCTATTGCATCTATTAATGGATTTTTTAAGGTGAGAGTTCCAAGTTAATTTCCTGTCGAAGATCAGACCTAAATACAAGGCCTGCAAGCAAGCCCTTGTGAGTAGACCTGGGGCCAATCAGGCCACCATTGACCTTGAAAAAGATGTTCCTTTCTGGGATTATATTATAGATAATACGGCAAATGGATTCAGGTATACCTATAGAACATAAATTACTAATTAGGATAGATGGAATGACCTCGTCAAAAGCGCCCATAATATCAAGGAACACTGCGACTGTGAATTCACCCTCAGCGAACCCGTTGCATACCTCAGACGACAACAGTGCTAGATTATCTGTGGTAGATCTGGCCTTGCGAAAACCGAACTGCGAGGCTGGAAGAAGTGAATGGTGTTCAACCCACCATGAGAGCCTAGCGAGGATGAGGCGTTCAA